TGTATTTCAGGGTGCTCAACCTAACATCTTTTAACTCCTGAGAAGAGCAGTGAACTCACAGCAATTCTTAATGGTTTGTTGACCGTGCACGTCCTTGTCAGAGCCTTTGATCCTTCCTCCGAACTGTGTCAGGTGTCAGCACTTGAACAAAAGAAAGCAGTACTACTGCCAGGTGACACATTAGGGCTCATAATTAACAAGCAGCATTTGCTCTCTATGAGCATCTCATCTTCAGGCAAATTGCTTACTGTTTTAATCTCTAGTAACTTTTCTGTATGCTATTCAGTTTTTTCACATGCATGTTAATTTGTGAGTTAGACCTTCTCATGACTCAGCAGTAATTTGCTCAGATGCAGTCACCTAGTCAAGTCCAAACAACACTGTGCAGAACTTCACAAGTTTATAGCTGAGTAGCTTGGCAATCATACAAAGTCACAGACTTGTGAAGTGCTCATACACTGAAATAATAGACTGGATAATTATCATAGGCAGGAGTATGAGAAGCTCATAGAGTTGTTGACCTGACTCTTTATAGTATGTGTGTTGTTTGGATACAGTAAACATTAAAAAACCCTAATACGTTCTCAACCATTATAGTTTCTCAACTATAATAATTGAGTAAAATTTAACTAGGTAAGAAATTAACTTGCCTGTACTTTTTGCTGAGATCATTCAGGATTAAGAAAAGATTATAGTAATACTATTGTAGCCATCATTACCTAAAGATAAAAACAGTTTGAGACTGATAGAAGTTAGTATGTGTACATATATTTGATTAAACAAATCAAATAAAGCATATTTGATTAGGCAGACTTCTAGGATGTGGAAAAAAACAAAGCTTGGAAAGTCAAAAAAGTCCTTTCAGGTCTGAAAAGCAGTAACCCTCATGAATAAACATGACCTCAGAACAACCTTCGATAACTCAAATAGAGACAGAAAAGGAATTGAAGTTTTAAGGAACTGATCTTCTGTGAGAAGGAGGAAAACAGGTTATTTTCTCTGGAAAACGTAAGAGGCTACATAGAGGTTAGAGTGCAAATATCTACTGAGAATATTCTGATTTTAATTTTCACTGTTTGTTTATTTATTTATTGTCTTGTTAGAGCCCCATATACAAAAAGCATAGGTGTCCTATCAGTAATTGACTTAGAAGCCTTGGTCTGCAAAACGCCTGATCACACAGGAGCCACTCGACTGCCTAAAGCTACTTCTAAATGGAATAAATATATATATATATATATGCACACATAGCTTTAAACCAAAGTTCACTAGAATAATAATGAAGAAAATGTTATTCAGTTTTATATTCTTGAGCAATTTATCCAACCCAAATGCAGCAGAGAGGTTATGAATGGAAGGTGTAGCAGTAGGCAGCTTCAGAGAGCTGTTTAGGCTGCTTTGCTCTGCTTTGAATTGCTTGCCTTTGGATTTTTCTGAAATATTGTATGAGGGGAAATTTTGGAGTGTAGGGAATTCAGACTGAATTATTGATCTGTACAGATATTTAAGCCATGGGCATTAGCATCTCTGGCCTATTATGATATATATGTTTTAAGGTTAGGTTTGCTAGACATGTGGAAAGGTGTCCTTTTGCATTCATTGTATCAGTCCACCAAAACAGAGTGCTCAACAGCATACAAACCCTGGTGGACCTTACAGCCTGATTTGGAAGAACTTCTGCTAGTTTAGGTAGTAAAGATTTTTAATAGGTATTTTCCTACATTTTAAAATTGCACTTGCATTTGTTTTCTATATTTGCTTTTGAAACCCCATAAAAATTCACCAATTTGGTCTGCAGAAATTAGGCTAGATAAATTCTTTTCAAAGCAACAAAACACCTGCAGACTTCTCTGTAGCAGTGACACTCATTGTTAACCTCTCTACTTAATCTAGCTGTCAATTTTTATGAAATGTTTAGGAACCAAGTATACCTGAGGTCACAACCCTTATGTCAGATTTGTTTACAATTGACTAATGGGTTCAAAAGCTGGTGTGGGATGATCTGTTGGATAGATGTGGCACTCCTACAAGCCACATTTCTTTTGGGCTAAACCTACTGATCATTTTTTCCAGCAGGAACCAATAAGTATTTATTTCTTTTTAAGCCATTTCTATACAAAACAGTATCTATATTCATTCTTTAAACTTTTTCAGACCTGGGTGTATGATTCTGATTAGTATAATTGAAGACTTAAAGTCTATTTTAGAGCTGCAGATCATTATAGGTTTATTTATGTACAGTTTATGAATAGCATAGAACAGATTACCAAGAGGCATCTTCCAAGATGATGGAGAACATGCGTACTGCACACTTTCAAAATGTGAGGTATGTGAATGTGCAGCAAATGAAGTCTTCCTCATGATTTGTAATGATGAAAATGTGACTTCTTAAGCTTCCTACACCATTGTTTCTCTTTTTGAGGTACTGTTCATGTAGGAGAATAGAAACAGGTGTCTCTGCAAAGAGACTCCAGTTTTATCTACCTTCACATTAAGCATGCAAGGGCAGAAAGAATTTTTTTCCCTCCTAACCAGTTTAGATTGTAAAGCACTCAAACACCAAATCTCTGGCTCTAGCTGGAACATATGGGCACTGCTTAATTGCAAATGCACAATAATGCCTGTTTAAGTTATTGTGTATTAGCTTCTTGCCTAAGGAGGTTGCTCTGATTTTAGCTTTGCAGTACAAAATGATGCCATGTGCCTAGATAGGTCTTTAGGTCTTTTGAGAAGGAGCACAAAGCTGTAGAAAAGTCTTCCTTTGATCTGCTAAGGAGATTATTCTTAACTAGAGTCTAGTTTGCACATCAGAATAATTTTGATCTTCTTTCTAGTTGCAATTGGCTGGGAGATTCTCCTGGTTGTGCATCTTACCATGATTACAAACCTATCTCAGAACCAATCATTATCCTTGAGTTGTCAGCCATGTTGCCACTAACACCCTCATTTACCTAACTGCTCATGCAAGATGTTTAACTTGCAGCCACTGAGGCAGGCAGCTCCTCTGTACACATTTTATATTTCAAATCAGTACTTATCAAAGCCAGTCAGCAAAAGCTTGCATCTTCCCTTTTCTCCCCTTGCCTCCATCTTTTCATTTTGTGCTAGCTTCTGTAGATGTTAGTCCCAGCCAGACCTCTACTGGCTGCTTATCAGTACAGCCTGGCTGCCCCTGCAGTAAGTTTCAATATACACTGAATTTTTCTGGGCCCCTCTCAAGTCTGGCATGGAGAAAATCAAGTTGGAGTGGTAAGTGCTGAGGTAAGTACTGCAAGAACCCACAGTTATTAATGCTTAGGGTTGCACAAGAGCTTAAGTCTGGACACACTGCTAAAACCAAACTGTTTCCATGGGTTTGTGTCACAGCAGGACAGAATTTGTAAGCCCTTTTGGCACCTAGTATTCTGGAAAGTATGATGCAAAAGCTGAGCTGGACTGACAGGATGAATGCTTATCCAGAACTGATAGATTCTGGGTAAATATTTCTACTGTGTATTTTTTAATTACTTCCCCAGTACCCATACTGTTAGAATTACTCATTATCCGCAGTGTCCAGTATCCCAGGTAGAAGTGGACTGATTACTGAGAGACAGCAGAAATCCAAACGTATTAGCCATATATGCTATCTAGAGACTCCCATCTCTACAGTAGGCACAAAATAACAGTCATTAATATTTGGTATACCAATATCAGGCAGTGGTTGTCTGTAATGGTCTGTGAGTGTCAAAAGTGGCCTGTGAAATACACAGCTAGTGGGCATACAAATTAGATGCAAATCAAGCAGCTGCTCTAGCAGAGAGTAGTATTTATTGAGTAGAAGTGCATCAACAGGTGTGCTTAATGTCAGTGATAGGTGTCTGGAAAGACTTGTGGAGCTAGTGTTGCAGGACTACCAGAGTACCTACAGAGCAGTGGTTGAGCAAGGGATGTGAGGGTATTAAGGATGGATACTGGAGCTTGCAAGAAGTCACAGATACTACAAGGCAGCTTAGAATTAAGACACTTAAACTAAGATAATGAGACAAGGACTGGGAATTTAAAACAAGAGGCATGAGGGAAGAGTTCTGAGCAGCATCTGATACCCTCCTCTGTCTTTGTTCTTTCCTAGTGGGTGTCTTAGATACTGGGCTGTGTTGGGTTCTGTTAGACGTGAAGCAGGGAGAATGCATAGAGGAGCTAGAGCAAAGTCACTGTCTCTTGTATGACTCCCATACAGATGAAAAAGATAGCTTTTTTCTTTAAGCCAAAAACCTCAGATGAAATTAGTATCAGATATTCAGATTACATGGAAGGGCTTATTCATCTTACAAGACAAAAGCCGAATCCTGGCAATATACACAAGGTGTTAACACTTACATGGCAAGTGCGCTGGGGAGTCCAGCTATGTTCCCCTATGAATATATCAGTGCAAGAAAATTTGGAGCACATGTGCTGTCAAAAAACAACAGTTACCAAAGATGGTAGAGTTTTCTAGACTCTACTTTCTTCTCTGAGGTTTAGATTCTGCATTATAGTAATAAAGTTGTGGCTTGTTTCAAACTGGGAGCCATTATTCTTGCTGAAAATGCCCTTTGTAAATTATTTTTCAAAGGCAGAGCAATCCAGTGATTATTTTTAGAGAATTTTTGTTTTGTTTTGCCTTCCCTGGCAATGTAACGAGCTATTTTGGTAATAAAGTTGCAAATAAATTTTTAAAATCCATAATAAAAGAAGGAACCTGATCAAACTACAGTTTTACTCAACCTTTTTGCTTTTGTTATTTTGTTCTTTCACTGTCTCATATGATTTTTGTTCACCTTTCCCACAAATGTGTGTTCTGACATTCCTCTTATCATTATGTTACATCATCTTGTTGAAAGTAACTTGTATTAAAAATTAAGAGTATCACCAGTGTGTACCAGCTTCTTAAGTGTTATTGAAAGTCACCTTCCTAGTGATTGGTTTATCCAAAATGGTTATGAGCTGAGCTGTGAAAAGATGTTTTCTTTTTCTTCTTGCAGACTGCAAATGATAACCTGCATACAGATGATGAGCATGACCTCAGAGGAGATAAAGAAAACTATCTCTGTGCAGTGTGCCTGGATGTTTATTTCAATCCTTACATGTGCTATCCATGCCACCACATCTTTTGTGAGCCTTGCTTAAGGATGCTTGCCAAAGACAATCCAGCCAGTACTCCATGTCCACTGTGTCGCACTACAATTGCCAGAGTCTTTTTCCAAGCAGGTATCAAAATGAAAGTTTTTAAAATAGAGAAAAGTATTTGTGGCTTTCCCTGTTGTATTTATGGCCAGAATAAATATGTAGTTTAAAGTATAGTAAGACCCTGCTAAAAGAAAAAATAAATTAAAAGCAATATGCAATGGGCCACATTCAAAATGCATGCAGAACAAAATTTAATGATGTTAATCCACTGTAAGGTCTTTGCATTTAACTCCTCCTAGGACTATTCCATGCAGGCTTTCTTCAGTAGCGAGAAACTATTCTGGATGCATATTTTAAAACTGTCTGATTTTTGAAGTGCGATTCTGATATTTTGCATTTCATCGGCTTCCTCTTGCTGAATGCTCACAGACTCCAAACATAATAAAGATTTTCTTAAAATATCCTACCAAGAAAAGCATTTTTAAAATTACTAACATACCAACACACCAAAAAATGCACTTTTCTTGGTTTTATGGGTTTAATTTAGCTATGAGTGAAAAGAAAGATTGGCAGAACTATATCCTCCTCACTAAACTTTTTTTAAAAGTCTCCCTTCCTGGCCTCTTACACCCTTATCTCTAGTATTCCTGACTTTTAGCAGTAGGAGAGTGTGGTGGATAAGAGGTGTCTGACGTGAGAAAGGGTACAAGGTTAGAAGAGGGTAAGCAGATGTAGATGGGATACCTGGAACAGCACAAGTCAGTCTTTTATACCTGGAGCTTAAGAAGATAAATTCAAGCACCATGAACAAAATTGCAATATAATAACTGGAGTTAGGCCTTTTAGAGTTCTTAAAATGTGTATAGACAGGTCACAAAGTAATGGAAATGACTCAGCCACGCAGGAGAATTTGTTTATTTTTGCATGCTGCAGAGATCTTGCAGCAATACTTTTTAAACTGGGAGAGTGCTGTGATGATGATAGGTTGAGGATGCAGAGTATTGAAGTATGATATCACATTTATCAGCAGACCTGCCCAACTTGTATTTCTGTTTGTGCAGATTCTTGCTCTGCACAAGCTCAACTTTGTATAATTTGATGGCAGACCAGTTCAAAGAACCAACTAGGTCAAATATGAATTCCTTTAGGTAAGAAGGAGGCATTTTTTAGACAAACTAACCAGTGAACCAGGATGGTTCAATTTATTGCTGTTGGTGGCCAGAAATAGGGACTGACTATATCAGTAATGCAGCAGGAAAAATGGATGGAAAGCTGCAGCCTGAGCACTCTCAGCACCCTGCCTGGCTGATGTGTAGAGGTTTCAAGCTGTTCTCACTTCATTTGCTTAATGTTTGATGCTCCTTTGGATTTGATATACAGATGAAGTGTGTTTCACCGGTAGATAATTACTTTTAGTTGTTTTTTAAGGGCTATTTAAATTAAATAAAAAAAAAAAAGAAAAGAAAAAGCTACTTAACAGATTGGATGCAGCAAAATACTGCTGGGACAGCACAAAGAGAAAATACAGATGCTTGGTAAAATGTATTTGCAAAACTTTTCAACACATTCAAAGTACTGCTATTTGAAATATTACCAGGATTATTTGCAATTTTTGAGTACTTAATATGCAATGTGTAAAATATGTTATGGGAGGGAATGAAGAAGAGGGAGCTGGACTCTTCTCACTGGTGCCCACTGACAGTACAAGCAGTAGTAGTCACAAACTGAAACACATGAAATTCCATGTGAACAAGGAAAACACCTTTTCACTGTGAAGGTTGTCAGACAAGTTGTTCTGAAAGGTTGTGGGGTCTCCATCTGTGGAAACTCAAAACCCAACTAGACACCCTGGGCTGCCTGCTGTAGCTGACCGTTTTTGAGCAGGGTGGGTTGGACAGAGCCTTGGGTGACATGGTTTAGTGTGAGGTGTCCCTGCCCATGGCAGGGGGTTAGAACTAGGTGATCTTAATGTCCTTTCCAACCCTATTCTATGATTCTGTGATTCTGTGACTGGTTGATCTCAAGACATCCCTTCCAATGTAACCCATTCTGTGAAAATATTAAAAAGTCATGTACTGGTTTTGAGGAAAAGTATTTGTGTGGCTAAAGTGTAAATACAGTGTCATAAATATATAAACAGGGAGCCTAGTCTAAACAGAGAGTCATAGCAATGTATGAGATGTGTTTAGTATTAACAATTTCAGATGAGAGAAATTCATATAGCCTTACAACAGCTATTTGTATATTGCTATTCAATACATAGCAATATATGCTTGACATGGCAATATATTTTGAAAAGGATACACTGAATTTACTTCAATTTGTTATACATATATTAAAAAAATACTTCGTAGTTTTCAAGTGCATAACATACTAAGCAGCTTTTAAACCAACCAAGAAATATTGATGACGATATCATACGCTTAGAGAAGTCATAAAATCAACACATTAAGGAAGATGGATAGTGCCAAATCAGTCTAAAGGGTAGCAAATATTATTTTTTTTTTTACTCAGGAGATTTAGTAAGCCATGCAATAGTTAGGCTAAAGTCACTGCTGCTATAGGTTTGTGCAGCCAGCAAAGCAAAGTTGCTAGGATTTTTTGTGTATTTCTGTAATGCCACAGCTGAGAAGACTTACTTCACTCTCTAATTTATTCTGGGTATTTTCTACAGCTTTGCTTTTGTATAACTGTATTTTACCTTACAAGGATATCTTAAAAAGAAAACATTTAAGGGTATATTCAGAAATTCACTTCTTGGCTTGTACAGTTTTACAAACTGAATATATCTGCAAGAGAAGGTTGCGTGTAACATGTCAAAAAAAAAGATGAGGGCTAGGAGTTCAATTACCCAATTATGAAGAAAAAGAGTGCTTAAACCAGAGCTACAAATCTGGATGTGACCCATGAGGATACTTTCTTCACCCTGTTGCCTTGATCAAGTGAGGTTTTCTTACTGATTCCCTTTAGAGTGAGTTCCAGTCCAGACAGGGTTAGGGTTAGGTTTAAGGTTAAGCTCTGATGGTGTCTGTTGTGCCTTCCCATCTTTTTTAAAGGCTTTATTAAAAGTCCTTCTTACATCAGGATAAAATCACGTCTAGTCAGTTGATAGGGTGCCCAGGATACACCTAAGAGAGCTTTTGATCTGATAGCTACAACCCAATTAAAGTAACCCTGAAAAAGTCCTTGATCAGAGTAAGCATTACTTAGCAACAACTAAAAACATTGGTGTTTTATCAGCACTGTTCTCAGACTAAAGTCGAAAACACAGCACTGTACCAGCTACTAAGAAGGAGAAAAAATAACCTCTACAGCTGAATCCAGGACATCAAGAAACCTTCTAAAAGCCAGTAAGGGTTGGCACCACTGCCTTTTGTGAAAACCAGGAGATGGATACTTGACCAGAGATTTCAGTATTTGAATCTGGACAATAAAGTTGAAAGAACTGTGTTGATTTTTATGACTTGTAGAAGAAAACTAAAATATTCTGTGTTGATATGATGAGAGGCAGGCAGAGTCTCATCAGAGGCTATTTCTCTGAATCTGAATAGTGTTTAATCCAGATATGTCCAGTAGCGTATCAAGCTCTTGCATAAAAATTAAGTGCTAGTGAAAAATGCACATTTTGCTCCTTTTACATTTGGGAGAGAAAATGGCCTCTTTTCCAATTGGTGACAGAGGTTTATGGGTGCAGTACCATTGTCCTTGGGTAATGAGATAGAAGGATTTAGAGATTTCTGTAGTCTGCATGTGTTGTGTTGATTCATTTCACCTGTGTTTGGGGTTTGGCTTCAAATCTGCCAATGCCTTCCTCTTATACAGAAAAAGCTACTGCAATCCAAGGGCATTTGGAATTTTTTCTTCTTTCTGGAAGCTCACAAAAAGCTTAGGTCTCTCAAATTTTCCAGAGAAACAGATTTCATAAAATACAGATTATTGAAAAATTATGAACGATTTCAATGGAAGAGGTGAACAAATAATACATAAGACTTTTTGAAGGTCTGTAAATGGTCTTTTTTTTTCTATTAAGATACAGCAGGAATTATGGTAGCGGCTGCTGGTATTTATCTGGACCCATGATGGTTTGAAGAGTCAAAATGTGGGGGGTTTGAAGTTTTCCCTGTTAACTTCTAGCTTAGCAACTCTGATACAAAGTAAATCACTTCTTTCTGTGTTAGGAAAGCATGGTTATTTTAAAATTGTTTTACATTGTTAAATTGCTATGGACAAGTTAGTTTTGACAGTTTTGAGTTGCAGTGTATGTAGGTATTTCACAAGATTGTATCATGAGAAGTTGATGATCTCTCGAGACTAATAAGGTATGTCAGCTCTTGCAATGTGCCATTAGTCATTCTACAAACGAATTCCTGTTAATCCACAACATTTTAAAAATCTCAACAAAGATTTTCAGACTCTTCCCATCTCTTTTCACTGCAGACTGTTACTGAGCAATACTGTTAGACAGAAAAGCAATATGAACTAAGAATGTGTCAGTAAGTTCAATAGATGTCATTTTTGATCCATAGAAGTCATCATTTTTTTACATGAAATGACCTGATTTCTTATATGCTTCCTTTTTGCTAGATTGCCGTCATCGTTCTTAAACAGAAACAAAAGGAACAGAATCAAAACAGCCATGTTTAAGACTTGTTCTTGCTATATCTGGAAATGTTTGGGTTCATGTGATATTAAAACAGCTTAAGAGATGTTATCATTAGAGAAAGGATTACACAGTAGATAAAGCATTTTTTTTTATTATAAGTGTATGCAAATTATTGCTATATTTACAGCATTGATTTGTACATTCTTTCCCATTTATTACCATAGAACTGAACAACTCCACCAAATCTTTTTTTCCTACGGAATATTTGAAGTTAAAAGAAAATTTTCAAAAATCAAATTCTGCAAAATGGCCTCTACCAAGCTGCAAGAAAGCCTTCAGAGTTTTTGAAGGTAAGTTTTTTAATTTTTCCTTAAACTTCACTCAGTCTTGAGTATAATATTTGAAAATAAGTCTCTAGCTAATACATGCCATAGGAAATCAAAGATGGATGATTATTAAGGTAGAGCTGAGCTAAATTCTCCTGGGTAACTTATACACAGTGCTCTGAATCTGAGGATAAACTGTAAATTCTGAAAAGGCAATTGGTGTGTGTATGTACCTTTTTATTTATTAAATCTTTGATTTTTTGTACAGTATCAGAATAATTGTAGTTTTCTGTTTGGGAAAAATTGTGTGTGCATAGTGGTATAAAGAATATTACTCAATTACTCTGGAAAGAAAAAGTTCTGAGTGGAGTCAGTAGAGACGTAAAAAAAAAAAAAAAAAAATTAGGATAACTTTTCCATGAAAGAAGTCATATAAAAAAGCTGGAATAACATCGCATGCATTATTATGTATTGTTTGCTTCATATATGAAGAGGAGTAAAGGCTGTGGGTGTTTTAGCTTTGTTTTCTGCTTAATTATATGAAGAAATCTTAGTCCTCTTTTGCTACTTTTAACACTTAAACATTTTCATGGTTATTAACTAGTTGTTAACTGAAAAAGATTTAAGTTAGATCACTGAAATATGGGATTCACTGTATACTCCATTTTCCCTGTTTTCAGTCTAACGGTCTTTCTTCACCAGGCCTCATCTATGTTTACTTATAAAGTTACTTTCTGTTGTGCTGAGCCTTCCTAGCAAATACATTTTTCCTGTTAGTTAGAACAATACAGATTGCTCCTAAAAGTAAGTGCAAAGAATAAAACAGGACATCCTTTTTATATTACTTTTGTGAGTCTACCCAGGCCTTTCTAGAGGTAAAATTTCGTAAATTCTAGTCCTCCACTTACAAAATTGTGTCACACAAGGGGATGATTTGATACTGAAAATAACAAGAAATGCTCTTAACTATCAAAAAATAGCAGACTTGAGAAGTTTGAGGACTGACCATCTTTGGTATTACTCAGAGGAGAAGCTGTTGGCAGGAGAACATGAGTATTTCTTTTCTCTAAGGCAGTTAATGTAATGTGGATGTTGATGCTAATGTAATACATTATGTATGTGACATAGTTCATGTATGTTCCATAGTGTCATATCAATTATATCTTTCATAAATATAAAAAGCTACCATGCCAAGCCTTCTTCAAAGCATAAATAATTAAAAATAGAGATCATAGAGGTTTAGTGTTGTGCTGTATGAAAACTGGGCATATCATTCCACCACAGTAATTCTTTGTGTTGGATTTATGTGTCTCCAAAGGATATCCTGTAAGTCCCACACCAAATGAGAGCATGACTACATCTAGTTAATAGGAAACCTGAACCACATAGCTGTCTGAAACATTGTCTTTGCCTTCTTAAATACAAGGGTCACTGCCATATCCCTCTCTTCTGACTTTTTATTTGAATAAAAACTACTGCAGTGTTTATGTCAGTTCAAAACACAAATGTATAATATTTTCTCCTGGGCTGCTTTTTTTGGCTTACAGCTGCACTATGTTTGGCAGCATCTAAAATTCCATATTTGATATGGAATTCCATATTTAATATTCCATATTTGGTTTTCTTAACTGTCTCAGGAGGCTCCCAGGGATACACAGACATAGAAGACTGAGCATACAGGCACCAAAAGACTTCTGACAACATAATAGATGCCTTTCACAAATACAACCCCTAATATCAGTAAGACCAGTAGGGCAAAAGAGGCTACTTAGGTTAATTTTTGTTTAATTACAAAAGTAATAACCAAATAAGATGTTAGAGTTGCAGAATGGGAAGAAGAACATAGTGGCATGCATGAGAAGAGTAACGGGAGTGAAAGTGGCCCTGTTAGAAATGCATATGCTCTTTTGTCTAGTTCATATGCAGCAGATTCAGTGGCCACTGAAAATCTGGCAGCTCTTTTCAAACTTTGTATTGCTCCATTTTTCCATATGACAAAACTTCTTCTGTAATAGTATTTTTATAATCTGTACATAAAAATGGTGGACTTTGAAGAGTAAACCACTCATTAGAGATACTAGGCCTGACAAAATGAGACCTCAGCTGACTGTTGAGAAGCCTAGATTGAGTGTATTTGTCAGTTGTAAAATTTAAAAAGTCTAATTTAGACTTTCTGAACATTGCAGGACCACTAGGTAAAATCAGATGTCTTTTCTTTTTCCTTACATTTTTCATGAACTGATTCTCTGAGCCAGATTTTGTAATCAATATGTGAGTCTTCTTTGATATGAGAATTTGAATGAGGAATGTAAAAGTGTCCAGTAACTAAAAAAAAAACAAAACAAACTATATGAGATAAACTTACTACATTAGTTGCTGGTTTGAGTATTTGTAATCGTACGGTAGAAATAACATCTCAAATAATGGTTTCCTTAAACAAATTTAAAAATAAACAAATAATGTCATTTGAATAGAATAGTTAAATAGCAGATGTACTTTATTAGATTCTATTACCGTATAGTTATAGTTTAATAACGTTGTATAAATAGAGCCTTTTCATGCCATTAAATTAGAGTTACATTCTATGAACACTGTACAGTTACAGAAGGTTCGCAAACTAAGAGTAAATCTCCAAAAATAATATGATACAGGATATGTGGCCTAAAAGAAGTGATAAAGATATTTAAATTGAAAATATGATACGTAATTTGATAGTGACTTTGGTGTCATGAAGTACAAAATTAAAAAGCAGACCAAGACAGTACACTGGGCCTGAGAGAGTTATTTCAAATGCTTTTGCATAGATCTGATGTAGAAATACATTGAAGAGACCAGAGACACAGGATGCAGTATTCAAGATAGTGATGCTAATGTCGTAAAAGGGTGCTGGCTGCCTGCATTTTGAGAAAGCTTGTGAGGTATGCCTGAATATAAGTATGCAGCTAGGTGTTCAGAAAGAGAGAGGGATCATGAAACCTTGGAGTTACAGGCCTTGATATCTAATTCAAGATGTAGGTATTCCTAAGCTAATAGGAAATTCCCTCCAACTGGTTTTATGCTAATGTTTTTATTTAAAATGCAATGACTACATTGAAAGTGGGAAAGCCTATTTAGAAATAATTTGTTTTAAAGGCTTAATCTAGAAAACATTCCCCTAGTGTTGCATACAATGAAGTCTGTACTAGTTCTTTACTGATCTCATCTCTGTAGTGGCTTAATAAAAAGCTGTTGATTTCTGCATCAGTCAAGGATTGCAAGATAGTGTTTTCAACACCTGCTAGTACCAGTGGAAATTCCCACTACCTCAGTAGGTTGCATCTACCATGTCCTTTTATCTAATCATTCTTAATAGAAAGGGGCGCTCCATTTCCTAAATGTTGGGTTGTTTGAAGAAATGTTATAAAAGCTTTTAATAACACTTGTTAATACATTTTTATATCTGTCTTTAAAATTGAGGTACAACACTTTAAAATCTGCTTTATTCAAGATTCTTGTTATCATGATTTCAGTTAGATAGGCAATAAAGGAAAGATGTTAACATCTGTGAAAATTTACAGCTACAGCATTACATCAGCTATGTTTTAAGTTCATAGTTCTCTGTTTAAAAAAATGATTATACTGGATTTCAAGTTTCTGATGATGTGACCTATCAAGAAAAGAAACAAAATAGGTGTTACTGAAAATAGCAGGTGCAGCATTCATTTTAGCTCTAAAGTGTGATGCTGGACTATAAGAAGTCTCTCAGAATAATCCTTGTATCAAGCTATTTTTTCCCCGAGTCCATCCTTCCTTACTGCACTTTTTTCTTTCTGTTAATTTCCTTACTTCCTCATTTCTGTAAGTTGCTTGTTGCTTTGACATACTACTCAAGACTTCAGCTGTGGGACCATGCAATGCTTCTTCACCAGAAGGCTTTCATTTTTTAGCCAGATCCATCAGATTTTACAGTATAGCTTGTGGAATCACAAAAAACTAATCTGCACACATGCATTTCTCACAAGATGCATTTACAGTCTAGAGTCTTCACAGTAAGTGAATTTTCTGCCTCAAGGAGACACACATTACTCAGAAGCGTTGTCTTTGAGCATCTCTTATGCTTATAGTACACTAAAACTGAAAACACAGAATCTAAGTACTGCTGGTTGAGTGTGTCTTAGGTCAACTGCACTGATGGCAACTTTGTCATTTTGCTATTTTGTCAGCACTTGTACCCATTTTCCTTGCCCACCAGTCCTTTCAGCTCCAACAGGTCACTGGTAAAAAACACAAGACTGATTTCTTGATTCAGAGGCCCCTTCTGTCCCCTGGTGCAGCTGTGCTCCAGCTGTCCTTCAGTCCTTCATTTCTGCACCTCACCAAGCAGAAGTGAATCTGAAAGAAAAATGAAATAAAATAGAAGGGGAACTTTAAGGTACAAAGGTCAGCGCCACAGATGTGTCTTAAGCTTCAGCCCTAACAGCACTGCCACTTTTTGTCCCTGCTGTTTTGCCAGCAGTGTTCTACAAATTATTGTGTATCAATAGCCTTGTGTCTTGGGTTCGTCTGTAACAGTTATTTTTCTTCTTCTTAGCAGCTGGTGCAGGACACCTTGTTTATCTTTTAAGCTATTTTGCAGAGGCAGCTTTAGAGACTTCTTCAGACCCACAGTCCCATTGGAAAGGATATTTTATAGCCTTTTCCAAGTCCTGAAGACCACATCCAGGGCTAGGCTGTGTAGGAGAATGATGCAACTCACTCTTACAAATCATGGCTGCTCAGTCATCACTATTGGTTCATCAGTGCATTGAAGGGAACCAAATTCTAGCTAATCTGATTGTGTCATCAGGATTGTTTGTTTCCATCTAACCATGATATTAGAAGACAGTTGTACCAGGAATATTGATAGCTATAATTATGCAAACAAGGATTGTGATAGAATGGCTATGTCAAAAAAGCATACTGTATCATTTCCGCATTTATTTCTCAACATGGCCTTAAATGAATATTGGACTGACATCCTTAGTTCTACTTAGGGAGCCAAGTGT